TAATCTCTTCTAAAATTATATTATAGAAAGTAATATATGTGTTGTTTCCATATTAGGCTGCAAGAAATTGAAGCGGAATTTGATAAGCATGTTAGTATAAAGGATATTACTTCCCAACAATTGGATATAGATCCTGACAGCATCATATACATATATAACTATTGGAAATTAAAGAGACGAGTAAGTCGTCGATATAAATCCGTAGTTACAAGAGTATCATGTTGGATTTGGTTTGTAATTCGCGTGTATATTATTTTTTAGGCCGGTCATAATAAACCATTGTTAGCTCCTCGTTGTGGTGAACTGTCGAGCGCAGGAGCACGCGCTCAGGGTCAAGCGGCCGACGTAGAAAAAATGCGTACGTTTGTGCAACTGCGACAAGATCTGGAACGCGTACGAAATTTGTGCTACATGGTCGGTCGTCGCGAGAAACTCTGTCGTACTTTCCTGAGACTACGCGAACAAACCTTTCACAAGCAGGCAATGGTGATGGCCGGACCGCCACTATCTCCAACGACGGCTGCCGCTATTGTCGAGGCCAATCACGGGCCTTCGATATACGATCGTCTCTATTCCCATACCGATGCCGAGGATCACACACATGACTTTAACACAATACTCGCCCGAATCAAAGTCGAGTCTCCCACGCCAGCGTCTAACGATGAGAAGAAAGTACAACCGGACTTTAACGGTGCGTCCAATAAGAAACCCTACTTTAATGGTTCGGTCAGAGGGAAGAGCTTGTACGGAAGTGATTTGTCGTCAATGAGTAGTAGTGAGACGGACGCGGTGAAGACGGAAAGAAAAACTACTGGCAAATGCACGAACAAGTCTAAGACTCTGAAAGTCGAGATCGAATCGACCTCAGAAGACGAAGGGAATACAATGTCGAAGAACAAAACTCCCGCCAGACGAAAAACAAAGAAGAATGCGCCGGACAGGCCACGAGCCTGTAAATTGCGCGATAGCAGTGAGAGTGATAAGTTAGACATGGTGAATAGATCGCGTTCTTTGCAGCATATGGAACTTGGTAGTTCCGACAGCGAGAGCGACGAATTGAGCACCATTGAGTTGCCATTGAGCACCAACGCCGGCTCTCGTCTCGGTCCATCAGCAGCTTCTGCCATATATTCGGATACTGATTCGGATTCGCAGGAGCATCATTCCCACTCGGCCGTACTTATCACAAAAGCTGCGGTGAAAGAATTCTCAGCAGCGGATATATCAAAGAATTCGCAGAAGAACTTTACATGTAAGGATGCCACGAGATCAGACTATCAGGATGACTCCACGAAGAACAAGGAGAACGTGAAGAACTCCAAGAAGAAGGAATACATACCATCCGCTCTGATAGTTCCGCAGCGACAAGCGGCGAAGAAGGCATCGGAGATCATGCAGCGAACACAGGGTAAGAAGGAGAATACCGCGAGCGAGCCCGTAGAGTTCGTGAAGTCGCCCGGGGAGCCTTTGAAACCGACTAAGGAGAAGCCGTCTGGCAAGAAACAGCGTGACAACAAGGCGCCAAAGGACGCCAAGAACAATGACGTTTATGATTTCGAGAAGGAGTTGAGTGACGGCACGGAGTTTTTCGGTTACGTGCCGCAACGACAGGCTGCAAAGAAAGCCGCAGAGCACATCAAGAGCGGTATGGGCACGAAACCCGCTCCAGCGGATCTTGAAACCGCAGACGGGAAACCAAAGAAGGAATTGCCGGACGGCGGCAAGAGGAAAGAGATCAAGAAGGATGAATCGCCCAAAAAGGAGGAGCTGCCGACGAGAAAGGAGGAGTCACTGTTGAAGGAGAGACGGGGAAAGAAACAGGTGCCTGAGAGCAGCAATAGCGAGAGCAGCAGCAGTGATAGCAGCAGCGGTAGCAGCTCTTCGGAGAGCAGTAGCGATTCCGATGTAGCTAAGAGTCCAATGCAAAAGATGTCGAGCACCGCTAAGGAGCCGGCTTCCTCTTCAACCACTACCAATACCACGTCCTCCGAAAGTGATAACGGTAATCAGGTGAAGAACAAAACTGCGAATAAACGGCAGACGATGAATAAAGTCGCAGACGAAACGGTCGAGTCTGAGAAGAGAACTGTCGCGGGGCGGAAACTCAAGAAGCTGCCCGATAAGAAGCTTAAAACTTCCGACGGGCGGCATGGACCCGAGTTTCAGCCGCCGCTTACTGAGAGAGAAGAATCAGGTAGAACCGCAGTACCTAAGGAGCAGCAACAGGCTCAACAACAACAGCAGCAGCAGCACCAGCACCAGCAGTCCGGTAAGAAAGCTGATCAAAGAGACTCATCCAAAAGATCAGCATCCTTGCAATCACAACAGCCAGCTGACCAAAGTGTGCTCGGTGGCTCTCGAAATAATGATGGGCTACGAAGTGTTTCTGGGGTCAAGTCTACCAAAAAATCAAACCAGTCTATTAAACAGACACAACAGCAACAGTCTACTCTCAGAAGCAAAGAGGACAGCGGCGGAGCAACGTCCAGAGCGAAGTCGGAGGCGCGCAAACGAAAATCAAGTGAGATTACCGCAAAGGAGGACAAGGGTAACAAGGAAACGTCCCCGATCAAGAAAGTGGAAAAGAAATTAATGGAAAAGATAACGAAGGAAATCGAGAAAGATAACAAACATGATACTACTAGTATTAAACATGTTCCGGATCTCGTGGAACCTCCGAAAGCGACTGAGAATACTCCTAAAGTGGATGACAAGAAGATTAAGAAAACAAGTAATAAGAATGCAATCAATACGCTGGAGGAGGAGATGAAACAGCGACGGGCGGAACGAGACAGTCCAAAGAAGTCATCGAGGGGACTGGACAAGCTTCTTGAAAAACGCGAGCATCTTGACAAATTGTCGAGGAGCAGGATTGCCATTCAGCAGGAAAGATGTAACGAGGAGAACAAAGACGCGAAAATTGTGGCATCCGTCGCAAAGGAGACTGTCAAGAGCGAGGACATTAAGAACCACATGAGCGAGGAAGTCGCGGTGCTAGATATCATGAAATTGGAAAAAGAAGACGTAAAGAAGAATGTCGAGAATACATTGGAGAAACCTACGGACAGAAAGAAGAAGGCAGACCGGAAACTCGAGAGCGAGACGCAGGCTGCTGTCGAGATGATCACGGTCGAGGACAGCGTCGCTAAAGAGTCAAACGATAATATTTGTTTGAGGTCGATGC